TCCTCTCCATGGATAAAAGTATTACTGAAGCATTATGTTAATGTTTTGTTGGCACGCGATACAGAGCATTGTGAAAACATGTTGCTGTTGCGATGCTTTACTAAACCTGAAAGATCATGGTAAATGATACATAAAAGATACCTGCACTAAACGAAAGCAAGTTTGGCCTATGTCAAAAAATAGCAGACTGGAAGTATCGCCAAAGAAAGCCGAACAAACAAATTTTTTACTTCCTGTGTGAAATGTGCAAAAAAGCAAAAGATAAACTTCTGTTATAATCCAAGACCACAACAATACAGAAATATTCCTAATTTTACTGATAGTGTAATCAGTGCAACATATTGGAGTAAAAAATCTGAGAAAATAGCTATCCGTGCTTATAGGGAGGCAACTATTCAAGGCTTCCCTACATTAGCGCGTAACCCGACATGACTGTTCGCCATACAAATGTGAACAAATTATATTTTTAGTCGTTTATTCGTAGCTTACAAATACATAATGACTTCGTCTAAAGAAGAAGCTCTTCAACTATTGGCACTTGCCGAAACTGAAAAAAAAAACAGGTAGCTCCAGAAGCAATACCTTGGTACGGGACACATTCAGTATTGTTAATATCGACACATATAGGGGAAAGTATTGATGTTAACTGTGTATTGCTCCGAGAACATCTAGTATTTGGATTGGAAGTGCAAAAGTAAGCTGCTTCTTGTTCTTGTTGAAACTCAAATTTTTTTGAAACTCCAATGAAACTTTTTTCTCATATTTTTATAAGAATATTATTACGACGAAGATATATTTATCTTCGTCCCTTAAATAATAAAGAATAGGATATTGTTTCACAATTTCAATTAGTTTTTCTGTAACAGCCATTTTAATTCACACGAAACTATAACTGCAGCGGAAAAAAACGTGCATGCAGCGTTTCATGAAAACAACGCTGATCTACCGCGACCGTTGCGGATTCCGCCTCAACTTGTCTGAACACCTGCATAAGTCGCCGTGCCTTACGATTCGCCGCGATTCCGCGTAGGTTGCGGCTGCGAAAGTTTCGCCTCGGTTTGGGGAACCCTTTAACCATTTCATTACCTATGGATTTTTTATTTCATTGAACCATCCTTATTTAGCTGCTTTTCTCGATGGACTTATGAAATAACTAACTGTGTTAGAAGTTAACATATTTAGAAATGAAAGATGACTTACGTTTGAAATTAAATTCAAATTATTATAATAAAGTGCAAACTCGAATGTTTGCCACTGGTCGTGAGTTCTGTGATTTTTTCACTTGGACAAAAAAAGATATGAGATGTATTAGGTAGAAAAAATGATTAAATTCATAATAAAATAATACCTCAAGCCAAAGAATTTTTTGAGTAGTATATGGTTATAGCATTGTCTGAAAAAATCTTTTAATACCAAAGTAGATAATCTTAATATGTATAACAAAATAAAAGACAAATAAATAGTATTTATGTTAATTTTATGAATTTTTATCTATTATGTTGTTTCGAAAATTTGCCAACATAAAGCATAAAACTATTATCGTTTATATATAATATTTAGTTTATTGTAGATACGAGTTAATGCATTTCCGTCGCACATATTTATCTCTTCTTATTACCACAATCTACGCTTTTCTCATCAGATTATCTTTGAGAAACCTGTGTTCTGATATTTTCGATGAGCACAAAGGAACAACATAACACTGAGGCATCTTATTACCCCAGATTAAATCTACACAGTGAAATAAATGCAATATTCACTTAAAAATATATAGATTTGGACAGTTGACGTGACCTCCAACTACACTAGCGCCATCTACGTTGAGCTTTCCAGATTAGCTGCCATTGACTACTGATGACACAAAATCAAACCATTTACGTCAATAAATATTACAGTGACTATGTCACTATCACTTGCTTGAATTAACATTTGACAAAAAGTTTCAGTTTTTATGAGACAACTTTTTGTGTCCATTATTATTTTTACTTATTTTTTCTTTATAAGTATTTACTTCAAAAAGTCATGCGAGGAACCGATGGATGGCATTTCGAGCATTTAATTTAAAATAATTATTACGCATAGTTTGGTTATTTTAAAGTACATCATTAATTAAATCATTAGTTAACCCCCTCTGTGGCTCAGTGGTAAGAGCGCCTACCTTTGAACGTAAAAATCGTGAGTTCGAATCTCGCCTGGGTGGAGAAATTTTCGTTTATTAAAAATTAATGAATGAAAATAATTTCTATCCTTGTGCGATCGGTACTCACCGGAGGGACCGCAGACGTTCGGATACAATTAGCGTCTCTTAGCAAAGACAATGACGTCGACATTGCTAAGTATCAAGACAATTACTCTACACCTACACACACACTACACTAGGTACCTGACTGTAAAAATTCACTGTACCATGCCAATGACCATTAGTTGTCGACGCATTAAACTTAATAAAAGAAAAATCATTAGTTATAATTTAGTTGAATTTAAATTTAAAAAAAAATTGTTTTTATACCCTTAAAAAATATTTTAGGTAAAAATGTAATGTCGTTAAATAGAGAATTAAATTCTTCTTTAAATGAGGTGTCGCATTATACCAATTTCTATTTAAAAAAATTAACGATTACGTTAATTAATATTATTACTTTATTCACTTCACCCACACCGGTGATGTCATCCCTACTCCATGTACGTTATAAGATGGGTAGTTTATAACAAAAATCGACCTGTTTTGGGATTTCCCTCAAAACTCGACGGTTCTCAAAATAATGAGAATATTCCATAATTTAGCCGGTCACTATATTATACTCTTTTTTTATAGATTTTAATTTTTTGTAGATTTGGCCTAATATTGGTAAATTAACTATTGGTTTATTAACCCTTAAGAGCTAACATCTTAAATAAATCAGTGGCGGATCCAGAAATCCAGAAAAAACCGCTAGGGGGCGTAATCTATGAAGAAAAATTTGAAAACCAGTTTTTTTTGAGAAATATGCCCAATTATATAAAGTGTTAAATAAGTAAACTAGAAAGAGGCCTAAATTCCTTACAGTTGTTCAAGTAATTAATTAATCAAGTAAAAATATTGTTCACATTCCAAGCAAAATCGGTTTTTGACAATGAAAACATACATAAGCCGTTCTTCTTTTCTTTTTATAGTGACAGTAAGAACAGCCCTTTTTTTTTCTAATTTGTCCACTCTTACTTCTTTACGCCATTGAGTTTCATCTATACCCAATATCTCGCATATACTCATCTTTAGTTTTAGTTAGTAGTTTAGTTTAGTTAGGAAAAGAGGAACTTTCTAGTCATTACATTATAAGTACAAACTTATAATTGTAAGGTACCATTACCTGAAAATAACAAAGAAAGAACAATTAAAGTTACTAATAAATTTAGATCATTTTCTTTCAAAATTTTCATAATGAATTTATAATCTTCATTTTCCCTTGTCACTGCCACACGTATCTGCTGCAAATTAAAGAAAATCTCGACAGCATATATTGTATGTTGGGATTTTCTATTTTCTTCTATCTTCTATATATATATATATATATATATATATATATATATATATATATATATATATATATATATATATATATATATATCCATCTTCTTCTTCTTCAACTGCCCTGTCCGTTGCGAACGTTGGCTATTAACATGGCAATTCTAATCTTGTTTGCGGCACTTCTGAATAGTTCGACCGAAGTGAGCCCGAACCACTTCCGCAGATTTTAGAGCTACGAGTGTCTTCTCCTACCTGGCCCTCGCTTACTGTCTTTTTTCCCTGGATAATCAATTGCAGCAAACAGTACTTATCGTGTCTCAATATGTGGCCTAGATACTCAAGCTTTCTTTGTTTAATTGTATTCACGATTTCTTTCTCCTTTCCGATTCTTTGGAGTACCTCTATGTTGATGACATGTTCGGTCCAGGATATACGAAGAATGCGTCGGTACACCCACATTTCGAATGCTTCTAGTTTTCTCGTGAGCGTCTCCGTCAGCGTCCAGGCCTCCACACCACATAGTAAGATCGGAAACATGTAGCATTTATCTAGACGTAGTTTTAGGGGAAGAGACAAATCCTTGCTTATGAAGAGCTTTTTCATATTGCTAAATGCTGCTCTAGCTCGTTCTATTCTCGCCTTAATTTCTGTGGCCTGTTCCCATTTTGCATTTACGTTGGTGCCAAAGTACACATAAGATTCTACATGGTCAATTAGTATGTTATTTATCCGTAATTGTCGAGCAGGTTGTTGCTTTTTGCTTATCAGCATTCATTTTGTCTTCTTGAAGTTGAGGCTCAGGCCGTATTCCTCACTAACTGAATAAACTCTTTCCATTACCTGTTGTAATTCGTCTATGGTACTGGCAAGGATCACCGTGTCGTCGGTATATCTTATATTGTTCGGTAACTCGCCGTTTATTTTTATGCCCACGTTTGCATTTTCCATACATTTGTCGAATATTTCCGCGGAATACATTTTAAATAGGAGTGTGGCTAATACACACCCCTGACGGACACCTCTTTTGATCTGCACACTTTCAGTGAGTTCGTTGCCAATTTTTGCTCTTGCTGTTTGACCCCAGTATAGGTTTGCCACAATTCGAATGTCCTTGTCGTTAATACCTGTCTATCGCAGAATATCTATCAATTGTTCATGATTGACATTGTCAAATGCTTTTGTAAAATCTACAAAGCACAAATACACGTCCTTATCAACGTCTCTACACCGCTGTATAAGCACCTGGAGAGCGAAAATTGCTTCTCTAGTTCAAAGTGCTTTCCGAAAACCACAGTGCGATCTATCAATATTTAACTCACATTTATCATATATATTCTTCTACGAATGATCTTAGTGAACGCTTTAGTGACATGATTGATCAAGCTTATAAGCCAGTAGTCATCACATATCTGGGCATTTGGTTTCTTCGGGATTGTAATAAATGTTGACTGCAAAATATATATCTATACATTTTCTAATATATTTATTTTCAAAGAAAGAAATTTTTCAAAGATATGGATATACCCATGAAGTACACTATTTAAAAACCCAAGATGGTTACATGGTAAAGCTGGAAAGACTGGGTATAAGTGAAAAAGATTGGAAAGGGCAAAGACAACCTATACTGTTGCAAGGTGGTGTGGGAGCAGCTCCACAATTTTGGGTATTACGAGGTGAAGATGGACTTGGTAAGTACATATTGTAATTTTACCAAAACAGTTCTTTAACTCCATTCAAATATAGTCTTTTTATTTGTTTAGAAAAAAAAAACACAAATAGAACACTCTCTTTTTAAGACCTTGAGATTTTCTAGTAATATCACTTGTAGTTCTGATTGATAAGATTAGAAACCTACATTTTTTTCTCATTGTATGAAATATAATTTTTCTCATTCCTACATGTATGAAAATAAATCATACCATAAACATGGTTAATATTTAGAGCACACATTAGCACCCAGCTACCTGCTTTAAAAATTCTTCTTTCTCTCTTCCTACTCTGCTGTAGTCAGTTACTTTTTAAGTGCCGGAAATACCTCCATGTAAAGGAACTTGCAACAAAATATGTGCCTTCTGATTGTATTTGGTTTTAAGACCAGCTGAAGAAGAAAAACCAAATCATTATGAAAAAGATATGTACTTTGTGTACATATTAATACAACTACATATTAATAAAATTGGAAACAGCGGCGAAACAGGTGGGTCTTGTCATCAAAGAAGACAAAACCAAGTACATGTTGGTTACAAAGGATCCGATAGCAAATGAGGAACGAGAAACAGTCTTTGGAAGTCATACCTTTGGACGTGTCGACAACTTCACATACCTTGGGTAGCTATTGACCGCTACCAATAAAACAGGCGAAGAAATCAAAAGACGAATAAATCTTAAAAATAGGGCATACTATGGACTCCAAAAGCATTTCCACTCAAAAAACATTAAAAAAAGAACTAAAATTATTATATACAAAATATTGCTGAGGCCGGTCCTCACATATGGAGCAGAAACATCGACTCTAACGCAGAAAGATGAAATACTTTTGGGAATATTTGAGCGTAAAATACTCCGCAAAATATTTGGAGCTATAAACGACTAAGGGCAGTGGCACAGAAGATATAATTTTGAATTGTATCAGCTCTTTGATGAGCCAGATGTCATAACGTTCATTAAAATACAGCGACTTAGATGGGCTGGACACATAATACGAATGCCAGAAAATACGATTGCTAAAAAGCTAACCACAGGAACACCTGTAGGAAGAAGAAGCAAAGGCCGACCGCGTATTAGGTGGTTAGATGGAGTTGAAACCGACTTACGGATATTAAAAATCAGAAGATGGCAACATGTTGCCAGAAACTGAACAGAATGGCGACGAATCTTAGAGCAGGCCAAGATCCACAGAGGATTGTCGAGCCAAAGATGATGATGATGACATATTAATAAAACATAAATTAATGTAATTCGTAGTAAAATAATTTTTTGCTTTTCCTGAAAAAAATTATAAAATAAAGTTGCCTCCTTTTTGCAGTCGTGTCTTCATTTCCATATTACATGGAACTAGGTCATGTTATTTTAGCAGGGCAATTTTTTAATTTTTAACTTTTAGTTTGTTGTTTTTATAAATGTTTTTAAGCGTTTCAGTTATTCGACAATGGTTACGACGTATGGATATCTAGTATACGTGGAAGCTTTTCTGAATCAAAAAATGAAACCTATAACAAAAGCGATGCACGTTATTGGGATTATACGTAAGTAAATATAATTAAAAATAACACCATAAACGATGTAATAGTATATTACATAACGAGAGTTGTAACAAGCTTATTACATGTGAGTAAAAAAGTTGCGCGCGAGCCGCGTAGCGGCGAGCGCAGTGATTTTACAAGCATGTAATAAGCCTACAACTCAAGTAGTGTAACTTTTTCTACGATTATTTTCGTTTATAAAAATAGAAATTAAATTACCACTATATTTACACTGACAGATTAATAATTTTTAATCTGTCAAAATAACGTCTGTTAATTCGTTTCCATGGTAACTCGACCAGCTGACTTACGAGGCTTATGTGATATTACACATTTTTATAAAACTAAAGCGTAATTTTTTTTATTACGTGCTACTCATTACGTGTCAGTATCTGTTATGATGCATTTACTTAGCATCCAAATAGTAAGTAATATACAATTTACTAGTAAGAGAGTAGAAAAAAATATTACACATATTTTTTGTTATATATATATATATATATATATATATATATATATATATATATATATATATATCTGTTGCAGTCAGAATATTGGCCGGCATGTTAAAAAAATCCCGGCCAATATTCTGACTGCAACCCTAATAAACTGTGTTGTTTGTATATATATATATATATATATATATATATATATATTTTTGTTTATTATTTTATATTACTAATTTTGTTTTTTATATATGATAAGTTTTTTTTACATACATGTATGTAAAAATTTTTTTACATACATGTACAACTACCACATGTTTTTTTTTGCTGTGCTAATTTTATGAAAATTGTTAACTATATTTAGTTCAATTTATTGTTTATATAACATAATTATACAATGTCCATTGTCGTAAGCTTCTTTACAATTGTTAATATCACTAATAGATGAAGTAGCCATCATCTTTGTCTTTTTTCTCCAATTTTTGACCGAAAATCCCGCCAATCTTCGAGTGATCCTTATTTTATATTGGATTGACGGTCGTACTCCTTTTCTCGAGATATATATATATATATATATATATATATATATATATATATATATATATATATATATATATATATATATATATATATATATATATATATATATATATAATTGAGATATTAAAAGTCTGAGCTGCGCCAAGCAATTAATTAGCTAATTAATTAAACTTATTTAAATGATGCAATTATGATTCTATCATACTGTTTAATTCTTTTTATCTCAGGGTTATACTCGTGCTTCAATGTCTATGCTCTACATATGATGGGTAAGGTCCAAAGAATACCGGAATAATAAAAAACATACATGATACAACATTCACACTCAAATATCTTCAATAAAAAATATCTCATGTAATGATTATCAAAATTTTGTTCTACGTACGTAAACCTTCAAAAATTAATGGTATATACAATATAAATTAAAATTTCAAATTAAAATTGTTGTTCTAAATCTCATGATCAAAATATTCCTATCTTTTCTAAAGCAATTGTTAAAAAAATGTGTTGAAAATAAAGAAAAACTAACGAATAGTAAAACTATCTCTCTGATGACGAGTTGTCCAAATCCTTGTTCCTTGTAGCCTACACTATCTATTCTTAGCAGTCCCCTAGGTAATCAGCAATCATACAACAAATTGTTGCGGGCCTATCGTCTTTAATGATCTCCTTCAAATGCACGTATCGTTCAAATGATGCTAGCCTCTTCTCCTCTCGAACTGAATCTCTCGTTCTGGCCTGAACAGTGACTCTTGGAATATAAGTAGAAAAATATAACTTACGATATTTTACTGGATCAGCTTCTGTCAGATACACTTACTCCACGGAAACTCACAAACATTCACTTCTACTGCTTACTACCTCTAGGGAACCACCAGAGAACAACGACTGTTCGCCTTGCACCCTTGGAAAACAACTGATTATCTTTTCTCCTTAAAAAATCTAGCTAACTCTCATTTCTACATACCTATCTCACTTTTTTCAATCTCCTCCAATCAGAGTTCGTCACACTTATCCCCATCTACCATTTAGATAACAAACAACAATTTTACCTACCATTATAAATTTCCTAAAAACTATTAACATGCTAATCGGTTTCTAGAAATTCTTAAGAACTAACGGAGAATTAAATTTTCTAAATATTTTTATTCTATTGTCATATTCACTGTATATCGACGTACAAATCCATTTGGAAAACCCGCTCGCATTGTTCACGATTGCACTAAGCTCACTCTCCCTCACTCAAATAGATTTTACAAAGAAAATAATTTAAGCATATTTTTAAATTTTGTTTACTACAAGTAATCCAGGATAATGGACTTTCATTTCTTTAAAATATCTGTTATAGTTTATTAGTTGAATTATTTGAATTATTATATTTTGTACTTTGAAATATATTAGAAGCAAACCAATATTATTTTCAATTTAACATATCTTAATATAATATATCGTGACACGACACTGGTCACGGTATGATTCTTTATTACAAAATATCAACATGATCAAAATGATCAAAAACTTCCTGGCAACATCTTGCAACTATGGAAAAATAATAAAAAATAAAATTAAAAAAGAAAAAACATAAGGTCTTAAATACATAAAACACAAGTCTTAAGCATTAGTCAATTAACAAATTTCTATCTTTTAAACCATTGATTAAATATCTGAATTTGCATATTCAATTAACGCTTAAATTAATTATTCCTTCTTTCTTTTTAGTTTTCATGAAGTAAGTATTTATGACATTCCACTAATGTTAGAATATATCTCAGAAAAAACAGACAACAAGAAAAAGATCATATACATTGGACATTCTATGGGAACATCGATATCGTATGTCTACGCCATTGAGAAAAAAGAGCACGCTGAAAAGTATCTACGAGGACTAGTATCTTTATCACCAGTTGCGACTTTGAATCATGCTGAACTAGGAATCAGATTTTTAGCGAAATTTGCAAATTTGGCGTTTGTAAGTACTTTTTTTTTATCATTTGAGATAGGACTTGGTATTAAGTATAAGTTGTTTTTTTATACAAAGATTTTTTTAAATTTAAATTAACTTGCATGTGACATCTATGGTCATTAGCACGAGTTACGATTTACATGGTAATATCATATAAGTTACAAAATAATGTAGTTAACATTTAACATAAGGAAAAAAAAAATAAAAACTTGTAACATAACATTTATATTTTGTTAAGCAGTTGACTTTTCTCGAGGAATTTGATAACCTTGTTGATTTGGTCTCTGCTGTTAAGGACCTCTTTGAAGTTAGTACTGATATCCAGCTGTTGGCGTATTTTGACATAAAAAGGGCATTCGATAAGTATATGCCTGATTGGCATGAGTTAGACGGGTATGCAACCTCCGCAATCTCCGTATGATTGCCATATTTTTTCGAGATAAACTGGGATAGGTAAGAAAGTTCACTAAGGGTTTAATTTCATGCAGCACTAAAGTAACATTATTCCAGTGAATCTACTAGGTGGAAAGATTAAGCTTCTTCAGACTATCTTTGCGATCGTTGCAAATTTGTATATTGATAATGGTGTCTGTGGATGATGCGGCTTTTTTTGGCAAGGCAATCAGTTTCTTCGTTACCACTAATACCAACATGGGATGGTAGCCATATCAGAGTGATAGTTGTATTTTGGTATATAAGAAGTTGATATGTGTCATAAATATCTTGCACGATAGGATAGTTGTTGGATATAGCTTTAATGGAGTGTATAGAGGAAAGTGAATCAGAGCATATGGCTGTATGTGTATTTGGATATTGTTGGGCATATTTAAAAGCATGTGAGATAGCTAGTAGTTCACCAATGTTGATACTATACCAAGTAGAAATTTTGGAGAGTCCGAGAGGCTGTTACAGAATATCCAACACCACTTTCAGTCTTTGACGCGTCAGTGTAAAGAACTATGCTATATTTATTTTTGTTTATAAGTTCTAGAAAGAGAATTTTTAATGTACCAATACTAGTATCTTTCTTGTTAAATTTGTTAAGAGAAATATCATGATGTGGGAGTATGTTGGCCCAATGGGATTATTAGAGAATGGTAGAGTTCGGGTTTCAGACAAATTTATATCTTTAACGATTGTAGAATGACCCCAATCTCATTAACAAATTAATAAATAAGAGACAACTCAAACTTTTAAGAGAGACTGCGTTCCCCAGAGACTTAACCATAAAACCTCATTACGCTTCTTTACCATATCTTCAAGAACGTCTTTCTGGAGATATTAGATATATCCTAAAAAGATCTGTTGAGAATACCCACATTTCTTTAAAAGTCCCGAACAATCTAGGACAATGTTTAACCAATACAAAAGATCCCATCAACTACATGGATCGTAGTGGTGTTTATAAATTACAGTGCTCTGATTGTGATGCTACATATATAGGTAGAACCTGTAGATCACTAACTTCCCGTCAACACCTTTAATCCCATACAATATTTGTGTTTCTTTAAACAACCTTTCTCTACACTATTGCCACACCTTCCCCTCATAAATTTTCGACCCTAACTTCAGAACCATCCATATCTATTATACCATAATATTTCACCATTTTCTCCACTCTTCACATCTACATCACATTCCTATCCATTCTTTTCTCTTTCATTATTTCTTGGTCAACTCATTTATCAAACATGTACTCAATAGTTTTAACTCAGTAATCATTCAAACATTATCTAACAATTTATCAAAATTCATAATATTTGTGCTTCTTTAAACAACCATTCTCTACACTATTGCCACATCTTCCCCTTATAACTTTTTGACCCTATTGCTAACTTCAGAACCACCCATATCTATCATACCATAATATTTTACCATTTTCTTCACTCTTAACATCTACATCACATTCCGGTCCATTCTTTTCTCTTTCATTATTTCTTGGTCAACTCATATATCAAACATGTACTCAATAGTTTTAACTCAGTAATCATTCAAACATTATCTAACAACTTATCAAAATTCATAATTTTCCCCTATTACAAAAAATCCTTACCTAACATTGCTCACCTTCTCTTGGTCAACAACTTAGTAGCACACTCATACATCAACTTTTAGGTTTTCATAAACCGAATTTATTACTACTAAAATAGATTTTGTCCAGGGTGCTAGATGCTGTAAGCATGAAGGACCTCTATTATCTCTAATTGTTGATTAACTCCTTTTCTCCTTTAACCATCCCCTTCTTCTTCAGTCATTTCCTCTACTTTTATTCTCATCAAGTCTCCGAGGAGCTCAGCCTCTTCAATTTTAAATTTAATCACATAGGTTATAACTCTAATTTATTCAGCCTGTAGATTTTCAATTTCCTAAACTTATTTTTATTAATTTTTTCAGTCTTAAATAAAGTCATTTAAATACGAGGTCTTATATTAGCTTCAAATATTTGCTATTCAATTTTTACCTTGTCCTAGATGTGATAAACATAAAAGGATAATTTTCATATATATATATATATATATATATATATATATATATATATATATATATATATATATATATATATACACACACACACACACATATATATATATATATATATATTCTAATCTAACATAAAATACACTTTTAGACCACATTCCATACGACAAAAAATAACATAGGTTGCCTAATACACAGGTCATTCTCTTAAACTAAAGGACTTTAACACTATCGGTGATTTTACATCTATTATACCCCAAATTTTTAAAGTCCAACACCTAGATTGCTGTTATTATTTTTTAAAATCATCAAAATAATTTTTTGAATCTTTTGGCTGTAGTAATACTAGGTATAACTAATATAGTTCCATGTTACATTCACATTTTGTTTTCGACACCGTTCATAGGTATATTGTCAATCAGTTACCAGTTGTTCTCCGTGTGTAGAGGTTTACTCTCCGGCTCTGGAACTCACTTCAGCCATGTATGTTACCTGAAGTCATATTTAATTTAATACTGAACATCACAGCTTTTTTACAACATGATGTATAATCTTTTACAACTATATGTAATTTAAAGGGTTTTTACCCATGTATTTTGGTGGCTCAAGCATTTTAACCTAGTAAGTATAGCCATTTTTGCTTTTTAACCATAGTCAAAATTTCATAACCACGTTTGTTTTAACTAAATGGTTGATACTTATTTTAGGCAATTTTAAAATTTAAACCTGATGATGGACTGTTTAGTCCGAAAACGTTTGTTTTTTTGATGTAGCCCTTTTAAGGGTTTTTAAATAAATATACCCATTTACAAAGACTAAAATCTTTTTTGTGATACGTGGTATACAGCTAGCTACAGGAATTGATTTCCTTGTGGATTTTTTTAAAATAGGATGTATAATTAAGTTACATGAAGGGTTGTTATGGGGTTGGTGTGATGATGCAATTAAATGATATACTGGAATGGATGAATTGGAAGATATTGCAGCAGCATAGGAGAGAAGAAGGTTTTCTCGCCTAAGCCATAGAGGAGGTTCATTAGCTTCACAGTAAAGACTTTCTGTCGGATTTGATCGGAATGTTCCAAGACATAGACGAATAGCCATGTTGTGTACTGTATTTAGTGAATTTAAGATTGATTACGTACCAGACATATAGACGATACATCCATAGTCGAGCTTGGAGCGGTAATTTGAAGTTGTTGATAGTGATTTTAGAATCAAAAAAACTCATTCTATTGCTAAATTTAATAACTTTGTATTTAGAGTGGGAGAGAGAAAGTTCTAGAGAATCTACTTTGTTTTGTAAGTCATTTAATCCTAATTGTAGAATTTTACTAGTAGTTGCGTTGGATTTAACATGACAGTACAATATTAGGTCATCGGCATTATAATACGCATTTGATTGGTGGAGCTATATTTTCACTTAACTTGCTAATCGAAAGAATGAATAAGGATGTGCTTAAAACTGAACCTTGAGGAACTCCATGATGTCGGATGTGTAGAGAAGAAAGAAAGTTATTGACAGAAACCCAAAGAAAATTTTTGTTATGAAAATATATGTTGCCAGTAAGGTTACATTCAAAAAGTTTGTCAAGGATTGCATTTATAGAGACGGTATCAAATGCGCCTTTTATATGAAAGATAGTTGCTATCAAATCTTGCTTTATTTATTGCGTTGGAAATATGGGTTTGGAGTGTTACCAGATTATCCCTTGTGGAGCGCTGTCTTTGGTAGCCAGATTGTTCCGTTGGAATAATCTTGTGTTTTTTAAAATACCATAAAAAACTTTTGTTGATCATATTTTTCCATTAGCTTACACATAGTGGATGTGAGAGATATGGGCTTGGAAGATTGTGGAAAGATAGTTGGCTGATTTGTCTTGAGTATTGGTTTTTATCAATAGATTTGCTCCACTGAGATGGAAATTTATGGGAACTCCAGATTATATTGTATAAATTAAGGAGTTATAATTATATATATTGTGGCTAAACACCCCGTACGGGGTTACGCCGCTTAAGCTCTCTAGATCTATTTTACGAGGTAGATCAGTCCTCATTTTCTTTATTTAATTTTTCTTGTTATTTTTCTCCACTGTTTCCTATCTCTGGTTTTTTCTCGCCATTGTCGTACGCCCGCCCTGTTGAGATCGTTTGTTACTTCTTGTAGCCATGTAGATCTTGGTCTTCCACGTCTTCGTTTACCAGCTGGTGTCCAAGGAGTTATAATTACTAATACCATAATTAGACAAATGCTTTAGGAATGCATAAGGAATTTCATCAGGCCCAGCTGCAGTATTTCTACTCTTAGATAAGGCAGATATTGGCTCATGGATAGTGAAAGGAGAATTAAGGGATCTACTATATTCAAATGATATCAGATGATTTTTGTGGGAATATAAGTCTTGATGAGATAAAGTAATATTATTAGTTTTATTCGTAAACTTATCTTCGAAATGTTTGGCAAAAGCGTTGGGAATAAATTCATATGAAGTGATCTCTATACCATTTGAAATTAAACGAGTAATTTT